CTACAAATGAAGGACGAACAAGTCTTGATCTGCTTTGATCTGAGTCAAAGAGTGACATAAAAAATAACAAAGGGAAATTAACAACTGTGCAGAGAATACTCAGCTACCTTTGCTTTACTATCATCTTTACCCCATTCAACACTAATTCCTATATTGTATTTCCCAGTATTAAAAAGACACCTTCCAGACCAAAAGCTTTTCTGACAGAAAGGTTTTACTGAGCCACGCATTGTCCAGAATTGGGACGGGGTCCTGGGTCGTGCAGTCTAATCACCAGCAGCCAGGCTAGGTGAAGACAAACCTGTTGTGCTGCAGTGGATGGGGCTCTGTCTTACAATTAGTTTGGGGACGACATTGTTTTGAAAGGATTTTTAGGTAAGGGGGCAGGAAAATTGAATGGGGGGAAAGTTTCTGGATAGGTGCATATAGTTTGTAAAAAGAAGTGTTTGCTGCTTCTGGGTTGCTTGTGGGCAACAGTCTGAACAGTTCCTGCATAAGCAAAAGGCAGTGGCAGCTGTTCTCTCTACATGACAGCTGAAAGAGCACCCAGAAGGGGATCAGAAGTTTCACGTACATTCAGTTTTATGAGCAGTTATTCTTCGGTTTCAGCCAAGGGTTAACTGATTAACATTGTCGTTTCCTCCTACTTTCCCTCCTGCTGTGATAGAATTTAAGACATCTCAGAATTGTTTTTCTCATCAGTTTGTATACCTGAGATATCTTAAATTAGGATTAGATTTTGTGTCCTTTGGTATTTTGTGAATAATCGTGATATTAAATTTTAAAATGTTTTAATATTCCAATATAGAATGGAAAAAGGAGAAACTGTTGTCTAGATCAGATTATTGAAGTTCACGTGGGTTCAGAATTTTATTGCTGCTTTTCACTTCTTTATAGCGGAAGTGTGTGAAAATTGAGTAAAAAAATGAACATATTATAACTTGGAAATTAGTAGCATTTGATTGAAAGTTGTAAGTACCAGGTGAGGGTACAAAATTTTTTGAAAATCAAAGAATATTTAGACACTTTTATTCTTATGAATGGTAGTGTTTACTCGGCTAGAAAGGTTTTCAAAATTCTTAAAATTGTGGGGTTAGTAACATAAATAAGTAAAAGTTTTTATACTTTTAAAACATTATAAAGGAAAAAAGTTATAAGTAAATTCTTCATAAAGAAAGGAAAAGAAAAACAAGTAAATTTAGTATAACAAAGATAATACAAGAACAAACACATATCCACTTTATGCAAACTGTATGCAGTGCAGAATGAATAAACAGTAAAGTGTCTGAAATAAGAATAACCCTATGTCATTTAATTTTTAAAACAAGCTCTTTAAAAGGAATTTGTTTTGCTAGAAACTTATATGTTAAGGTAATATGTAATGTATATGGTCAAATTAACATAATATATAGTGTAAAGTTACAAAAGAATAAAATATTTATTACGTTAGAGCCCCATGTATATAAAGCTGATAGAATCTTTATTCAGCCTATTTTCAGTCTTCCTCTTAAATTAAACATGCTGAATAATAAATCAAAAGTGTTTAACCTTACTTACAAATAGAACATATAAAATAACTACATTTTTTTTTACATATTTATTGGCAAAAATAACAAAATGTATTCAGGATGAGGAAATAGGCATTTGTGTGCACATTGTTGGTACTACTATGGTACTAAAAATACAATTTTAAATTATTAAAATCTTAAATGGCATACTCTCCTGTCTTAACTTCTATTAATTCATCTTTTAGAACACTGTGCAACAAATTCATGGGTATTATCTTCCCAGGTTTTAATATTTATTTATTTATTTATCTTTATTGATTTTTAGAGAGAGAGGAAGGGAGAGGGAGAGAGAGAGAGAAACATCGATGAGAGAGAACATCATTTGGACACCTCCTGCATGTCCCCCACTGGGGATCGGCCCACAGCTTGGGCATGTGCCCTGACCAGGTATCAAACTGCTGACCTCTTGGTGCATGGTTCAATGTCTAACCATTGAGCCACACCAGCCGGGCCTAGGTTTTAATATGTAAGAGTGACTAAATGATAACACGGATAACTCAGTGCCATCAATACAAAAGGTATTTTTTAACTGCTCACCCGAGGATATGTTTGTTGATATTAGAGAGAGAAACATTAATCCATTGTTATCCATAGGCTCCTTGGACACAAATTGAATCCACAGCCTTTTGGTATATGGGATGTTGCTCCAACCCACCGAGTTACCTGGCCAGGAAAGAAAGAAAAACTTTATTGGTACTTACAGGTCACCTAGAAACAGGAGATCGACCACAGCACAAAGGCCACAAGAAGCATCAGTGTCAGTGAGGAGGCAGATAAGAGCAAGGAGAAGGCTTAGGAAAGGTACAACAGAGTTGGATAAACATTTTAGGACTGAATAGTTTGAATAAATCCAGCAGGTTTTGGAGCATAGAGACTTTCTCTAGTATTTTGATTTCTTGGCATGCATTGATTTAGAGCAGGGAAAATATCTTGCTTGGTGTGTGTGAATTTGATGAGGTTATTTAGAGTTCTGGACTTGTGATCTATTGGTTTCTATATGAAAGGCATAGTAACCTAGATTGTTTACTGCCTCTAAGAAATACCTATTCATAGGAGCAGACCCAGGAGCAGCCAGGAAGCATTCTGTCCCTTCCTGTGGCATGTTAAAACATTATTAACATCATAAAATATAAAAAACAAAAAATAGCCATGACTTGTGTGGCTCAGTGGATAGAGCATGGGCCCATGCATGGAAAATGTGGTGGGTTTGATTCCTAGACAAAGACACGTACCTGGGTTGCAGGTTGAATCCCCACTTCAGTCTGGGTGCTTGTGATAGGCAACCAATCATGGTTTCTCTTTCAATCCATCTTTCTCTGTCTCTCCCCAACCCCCTATCACTCTTACTCTCTCTAAAAATCAATGGAAAAAATATCTTGGGGTAAGGAAGATATTTATATGATGTGTGTGTGTGTATACACACACGTGTATATATATATTTGTATGTGTATATTTATATATATATGTAGATATCTACATACACACTAAATACAATTAATTACATCATTGTTTATAATAAAGGAGTAGGTTTAAAATGTTTCTGAAATAGCAATATAATGTGCTATTAATATAATAAAGCATGGGACAGGTGGTCTCATCTATATAGAGAGATGGTCTCAATTTTATTACATTTTTGTTGATAATCCTCAACCAAGGATATTTTTCCACTGATTTTTAGATAGAGTGGAAGGGAGGGAGAGAAAACGAGAGAGAAACATCGATGTGAGAAAGACACAGCAAACGGATACCTCCTGCATGACCCTGACTAGGGCCGAGAATTCAAACCTACAGCCAAGGTATGTGCCCTTGACTGAGAATCAAACCCAAGACCCTTTGGTCTGAGGGCCCAATGGTCTAACTGCTGAACCGAGACTCAAAATTTTTATTCTTGAACAGACTTCCTCCTGATCATTGGGAGATTGTTTACAATCCTCATCATGTCCCCAGTTGACCCTCTGTTTCTCATGGATATTGTCAAACAATATGTATTATTGCCTGCATAAGTTATTTGGGGAATAAAGCTAAAGCAGAAAGTATGTGTGTTTGTATATGTGTGCAGAAAACCTATAAAAGTAAATCTCAGGCTTTGTAAGTGCTTTAATTTAAATGTAGAACAAAAACTGAAGCATAAATAAAAATAGATCTCATGGTGACCAGTAGGAGATACATTGTGAAAATGATATAATATGATATGTGTATTTTTTGACATATAATGGATTTTCAATTTTACATCTCTCAGATTACATTTTGGGAGAAAAGGAGTTACTTGTGATGATCTGAATTCCAAACAGAATTCTCATTCCTGTCTTCCCATTTGCATCTTCAACTCAATGGGTTTGTTTATAATGCATTTATTGAATTCTTTTTGTTTTTTAATCCTCATCTGAGGACATTTTTCCATTTTTTGTTCAAGGAGAGTGGGAGGGAGAGAGAGAGAAACATCAGCGTGAAAGGGACACATTGAATGGTTGCCACATGCACGACCCATCCAGGGCTGGGGACAAACTGAAACCAATGTACACTCCCTTAGTGGGAACCGAAACCCAGTCTCTCTTGACCACAGGCCGATGCTCTAACCACTGAACCAAATGGGCCAGGGCTATTGAATTCTTTATCATAAGTTATATACGTCATGATATATAAGCCTAACTAGTATTGCAAACATAGGAGTATTCACTCAATTATTATATTTATAACATAAACAAAGTTGAGAATAGGAATTACCTTCCAAATTTGTCTGTTCATTTGTTCCTGCCTAGCCATACTTTATTTACAGGTAAAATTACACAACATAGGTGATTGTTTGTTTTTTAATTCTCACCTGAGAATATGTGTATTGATTTAGTGAGAGAAATGGGGAGAGAGAGAAAAAGAGAGAAAGCAAGACATTGATTTGAGAGAAAAACATTATTTGGTTGCCTATCATACATGTCCCCATCAGGAACAGAGCCCACAACCTGACCTAGCAACCTTTTGTTGTAGGGGATGATGCTCCAACTAACTGAACCACAATAGCAAGGTCAACATTTGTTTGATTTTAATGTAAACTGTTTTGCTTTTATTATGTCTATTTGTGTAAAAGGCACATTATTTTAATTTTATTTTTATTTAATTAACTTATTTTTGCTACAGATATTTCTCCTTTTTTCCCATTGACATCTGCCTCCCATTCTCACCCCTCACCCCCAGCATTGTTCATTGTTGTCTATGTTCATTGGTTATACTTATATGCATAAGTTTCTTTCTACCCCCCCCCCCACCATCCCCTCTTCTGAGGCTTGTCAGTTTGAATTCTACTACTATGTCTCTGGGTCTATTTTATTTGTTATAGTCCACAAATAAGTGAGAGCATGTGATAATTTATCTTTCTTTAATTAGCTTATTTTGCTTAGCATACTACTCCCCAGGTCTTTCTTTTTTTTCTTTCAATAGCCCACAGAGGAGGATATTGAGAAGAATCCAGAGTTGAAGAAGCTACAGATTTATGGGGCAGGCCCCAAGATAATGGGCTTGGGCCTCGTGGCCAACGATAAGACTTTAAGGAAGAAAGTTGTGAAGCATAATAGTCTGAGAGACAGTGTGAAGGGTAAAGTACTCAAGTATTGTGGAAAGATGGTTTGTTAATCTTGATGGGGAATACATTTATTTATTTTGGGATTTCTTTCTGACTCTTAGATAAAGAAGAGACCATATACCCTCTCCCTGTTGTGATGAAAGAGGAACCAAGTGGGAGTGGAAAAATGATGTCAACATTGTCCGAGGAGGACTTGAGTCAAACCGTAGAGCCCTGCACCAAGACGACCATGGGACTATGAAAGAATCACAGCAGTGCTCAGTTTATATGGACTCACCCATGATTTTCTAGCAGTGTTTTTGAAATTTCAGGACTAGATAGAACCTCAAATTATTTCATTCACCTTTCTATTTCCTTCCATTTTCTTCTGAGCATGATAGCCAGGAAGGGGAAGAAACATATTTAAGATATTATAGTTAGGAGCAAAATTCATATCTCCTGTACTTTTAGAATCTTTTACCAAACTCCTCTATCTTACACAGTGGTGCCTTCCTTCTATAATATTGCTTTACTTGTGTCTTTACATATATAATATTTTTCTTCTTTTTATTAACATTTACCTGAAAGATTTTTACAATCTCTTAAATATTCTAGATTTTCTACATTTGTATAAAATGATAAATCCCCTTTCTTGAATTTTGTCATACCTGTATTTTTTGTTTTTTTTTTCTTTTAATTAATTTATTTTTTATTAATTAATTTTTGTTACAGATGTTTCTCCTTTTCCCCCCACTGCTTCCCCCCTCACCCTCCCTCCCTACCCTTTCCTCAGTTTGTTGTCCATGTCCACTGTTCATGCATACATGCATATAAGTTCTGTGGTTTATCTCTTCCCCACCACCCCCCTATTTAGGGGATTGTCAGTCTGTATCCCATTTCCGCGTCTCTGGGACTCCCCCTTCCTCAGACTGTTATGTTCATTACATTCCAAAAATAAGTGAGATCATATGAAACTTGTCTTTCTCTGTTTGGCTTGTTTCACTTAGGATGATACTTTCCAGGTCCCTCCATGTAGACTCAAAGTATAAGAGATCTTTCTTTCTTACAGCTGCATAGTACTCCATTGTGTATATGTACCACAGTTTTTTTATCCATTCATCTACTGATGGACATTTGGGCAGTTTCCAGATCTTAGCTATTGTAAATAGTGCTGCTACAAACATGGGGGTACATGTATTCTTTCTGGTTGGTGTTTCAGGCTTCTTAGGATATATTCCTAGAAGTGGGATCACTGGGTCAAATGGAAGTTCAATTTTTAATTTTTTGAGGTAGCACCATATTGTTTTCCATAGTGGCTGCACCAGTCTGCATTCCCACCAGAAGTGTACTAGAGTCCCCTTTTCTCCACACCCTCGCCAACACTTGTTGTTTGATGATTTATTGATGGCGGCCATTCTGACAGGTGTGAGGTGATACCTCATTGTTGTTTTAATTTGCATCTCTCTGATGATTAGTGATGATGAGCATTTCTCATATGTTTCTTAGCCATTTGTATGTCCTGTTTAGAGAGGTGTCTATTCAGCTCCTCTGCCCGTTTTTTAATTGGATTCTTTGTCTTCCTTTTGTGGAGTTGTATGAGCACTCTATATGTATGGGAAATTAGCCCCTTTTCTGATATATCATTGGCAACTGTGCTGTCCCATACAGTGGGTAGCCTTTCTGTTTTGATGATTGTATCTTTAGCAGTGCAGAAGCTTTTGAGTTTGATGTAGTCCCATGTGTTCATTTTCTCCTTTGTTTCTATTGCCTTAGGTGATGTGTCAGTAAAAATTCTGCTGCGTATGATGTCCGAAATTTTGTTGCCTACAGTCTCCTCTAGGATTTTTATGGATTCATGAGTTACATTTAAGTCTTTTATCCATTTTGAGTTTATTTTTGTGTACGGTGTAAGTTGATGGTCTAGTTTCTTTTATTTGCAGGTAGCTGTCCAATTTTTTCAGCACCATTTATTAAAGAGGCTGTCCTTACTCCACTGTATGCTCTTGCCACCTTTGTCAAATATTAATTGAGCATATTGCCTTGGGTCCATTTCTGGGTTCTCTGGTCTGTTCCACTGGTCTATATGCCTGTTCTTGTGCCAATACCAGGCTGTTCTGATTACGGTGGCTTTGTAGTATAACCTGAAATCTGGTATTGTGATTCCTCCAACTTTGTTCTTCCTTTTCAAGATTGCTGTGGCTATTCAAGGCCTTTTTGGATCCATAAGAACTTTTGAAATAATTGTTCTAATTCTGTATGCTGTTGGTATTTTGATGGGGATTGCGTTGAATCTATAGATTACTTTGGGTAATATGGACATTTTAATGATGTTAATTCTCCCAATCCATTAACAGGGTATGTGCTTCCACTTTTTTATATCTTCATTTATTTCTTTTTTCAATGACCTGTAGTTTTCTGTGAATAGGTCCTTTATTACTTTGGTTAAGGTTATTCCTAGGTATCTTAATTTTTTTTTTGCAGCAATGGTAAATGGGGTTTTTTCTTAGTTTCTCTTTCATTGAGTTCATTATTGGTGTATAAGAATGTCATTAATTTCTTGACATTAATTTTGTATCCTGCTACTTTTCCAAATTCATTTATTAAGTCTAGTAAACTTTTGATGCAGTCTTTGGGTTCTTCTATGTACAGTATCATGTCATCTGCAAACAATGACAATTTCACTTCCTCCTTTCTTATTTGGATCCCTTTTATTTTTCCTTCATGTCTGATTGCTGTGGCTAAGACTTCCAGTACTATGCTAAATAGGTGTGACGAAAGTGGGCATCCTTGCCTTGTTCCTGTTCTCAAGGGAAATGCTGTAAGTTTTTGCCAATTGAGTATGATGTTGGCTGTAGGTCTTTCATATATGGCCTTTATTATGTCGAGATATGATCCCTCTATTCCTACATTGTTGAGCATTTTTATCAGAACTGGATGCTGGATTTTGTCAAAGGCTTTTTCAGCATCTATTGATATGATCATGTGTTTTTTTTTTCTTCATTTTGTTTATGTGGTGTATCACGTTTATTGATTTGCGAATATTGTACCAGCCTTGCATCCCTGGAATGAATCCCACTTGGTCATGGTGAATAATTTTTTTGATGTATTTCTGGATCCGATTTGCTAATATTTTGTTCAGGATTTTGGCGTCTATGTTCATCAGGGTTATTGGCCTGTAGTTTTCTTCGTAGTGTCTTTTTCTGGTTTTTCAATTAGAATTATGCTGGCCTCATAGAACGTGTTTTGAAGTCTTCCGTCTTCTTGAATTTTTTGAAATAGTTTGAGGAGAATGGGTGTTAGTTCTTTTTGAATGTTCGGTAAAACTCCCCCGTGAAGCCATCTGGGCCTGGGCTTTTGTTTGCTGGGAGAGTCTTGATTACCTCTTCTATTTCCTTAGTTGTTATTGGTCTGTTCAAGTTTTCTATCTCTTCTGGGAATAGTTTTGGGAGACTGTGTGTTTCTAGAAATTTGTCCATTTCACTTAGATTGTCGAATTTGTTGCCATATAGTTGTTGGTAGTAGTTGTTAACGATCTTTTGTATTTCCGTGGTGTTGGTTGTTACTTCTCCTCTTTCATTTCTGATTTTGTGTATTGGGTTGTCTCTCTTTGTTTCTTGGTGAGTCTAGCTAAGGGTCCATGAATCTTGTTTATCTTTTCGAAAAACCAGCTCTTTGTTTCATTGATCCTTTGAATTGTTCTTTTGGTCTCTATGTCATTTATTTCTGCTCTGATCTTTACTATTTCCTTCCTTCTACTTGCTCTGGGGTTTTCTTTTTGTTTGCTTTCTAATTCTTTAAGTTGTGAGTTTAGACAGTCAATTAGAAATTTTTCTTGTTTTTTGAGGTAGGCCTGTAGTGCTATAAATTTCCCTCTCAGATCTGCTTTCGCTGCATCCCATAGATTTTGTGTTGTTGTGAGTTCATTTTCATTGGTTTCCAGGAAGTTTTTAATTTCTTCCTTGTTCTCCTCGGTGACCCATTCATTGTTTAATAACATGCTATTTAGTCTCCATGTGTTGAAATGTCTTTGCATGTTCTTGTTGCAATTGATTTCTAGTTTCATGCCTCTGTGATCTGAGAAGATGCTTGATATGATTTCAATCTTCTTGAACTTGTGGAGATTTAGTTTGTGTCCTATCATGTGGTCTCTCTTTGAGAATGTCCCATGTGCACTTGAGAAGAATGTGTATTCTGTAGCCTTGGGGTGTAATTCTCTGTAGATATCTATTAAATCCATTTGGTCTAGTGCTTCATTTAGAGTCTCTGTTTCCTTGCTAATTTTTTGCCTAGAGGATCTATCCAGTGCTGTCAACGGGGTGTTGAAGTCCCCTGCTATGATTGTATTGCTTTCGATTTCTCCTTGGAAGTCCTCCAGAAGATTTTTAATATATTTTGGTGCTCCTATATAGGGTGCATATATGTTTATCAAGGTTATATCTTCCTGTTGGATAGATCCTTTCAATATTATATAGTGACCTTCTTTGTCTCTAGTTATGGTCTTCATTTTGAAATCTATTTTATCAGATATGAGAATTGCTTCCCCAGATTTTTTTTTGCTTTCCATTTGCTTGGAAAATTTTTTTCCATCCATTCACTGTCAACCTATGTGAGTCTTTTGTTGAGAGGTGAGTCTCTTGTAAACAACATATAGATGAGTCATGCTTTCTTATCCAATCAGCTACTCTGTGTCTTTTTATGGGAGCATTCAATCCATTTACGTTTAAGGTGACTATTGATATGTACTTATTTATTGCCATTTTTGTTTAGTGTGGTTCTATTTTTCTTCCCATTTCTACTGCTAATTACAGCAGTCCTTTTAACATTTTTTGCAGTGCTGGTTTGGTGCTAATGTATTCCCTTAGCCTTTTTTTTTTGTCTGGGAAGCTCTTTATTGGATCTTCTATTTTGAATGATAGCCTTGCTGGGTAAAGTAGTCTTGGATTCAGATTCTTGTTTTTCATGACTTTGATTACTTCATGCCATTTTCTTCTGGCCTGTAGTGTTTCTTGTGAGAAGTCAGGTGAGAGCCTTATGGGGTTCCCTTTGTAGGTAACATGTTGCTTGTCTCTTGCTGCTTTTAGGATTCTCTCTTTGTCTTTAATTTTTGGCAGTTTGATTACTATGTGTCTTGGTGTGGGCCTGTTTGGGTTCTTCTTACTTGGGACTCTCTGTGCTTCTTGAACTTGAATGCCTTCTTCCTTCGCCAAATTAGGGAAGTTTTCTGTCACTGTTTTTTTGAATATATTCTCTATCCTTTGCTCATTTTCTTCTTCTTCAGGGACTCCTATGATGCGAATATTATTACGTTTCCAGTTGTCCCATAGTTCTCTTAAGCTGTCTTCCTGTTTTTTAATAGTTTTTTTCTTTTGTTTTTCTGATTGGTTGAGTTTTTCTACCCTGTCTTCTAATTCACTGATCCGGTCCTCAGCTTCCTCTACTCTGCTTTTTAAACCTTCCAATGTGTTTTTCATCACATATTTTCATATGTCATTTTTTATCTCTTCTTGTTGGTTTTTAATTTCCAATTGGCTTATTTTCAGTGTCTCTATGTCCTTACTCATGCTGTTCAGCTTCTTCAAGATCATGGCTCTGAATTCTAGCTCTGTTAACATGCCTAATTGCTCCACCTTGATCTCATCTTCAGTGGAGGTCTCTGGCTCTTTCATTTGGCTTCTGTTTCTGTGTTTCACCATTTTGGCTATCACTGTGGGTTTTGGAGCCTGTTAAGTTCTCCCTGTGGGTGTTGGTGTTCTGCTGTTTGTGGCTCCCTCTCAGTCTTTGTGTTGAAGGAACATCCAGCACGAGACCAGATCCTGACTTGTAATTGGTGCCACCCCTTCCTGATCCTTTGTTGACTCCAGGTCTGGGTTGGTCCTGAGCCTGAGGCAGGACCTTGGGCTCCAGCAGAGAGAAGGCAGACTGGACTGGAACTGTGTGGGGACACTTGGGATTTGTAGGGTGCTCAGAGCTTTTGCTGAGTGCAGCCACCCAGGACTAGCCTCATCTTACTCCCTTGTTTCTTTGTTTCACCATTTTGGCTATTTCAGTGGGTTTTGGAGCCTACCCATTTTCCCTGTGGTGTGGCATTCTGCTCTTTGTGGCTCCCTCTACTGGGTTTGGATGGGCCTGGATAGGCCCACGTTAAACACCACTGTCAAGTCTAACTTTCCTTGGTAGATTTGCAAGCCCAGGATAGGTTCTATTGTCCTCTGGCTTTTCCTGGAGGCTAGTAGTCTCAGTTAAGCGGTGCCTTGGAATGTAGCCCTCTTTTTCTGCATAAGAAGATTTCCAGAGGGTGGGATATATGCTTGTTGTTAATGAGCCTCAATTTGCATTTCTTTGCCTCACCTGGGAAAGGCTGTATTTCCGAGGTGTTGGAGGCTGCTGCTTTTTACCACAGTTCCATGAAGGAGCACACTGGCCACTGTCCTTTGTGGTCACAATTTAGTAAAAACTCTGAATGCCCGCCAAATACCAGGTGTCCCCAAAGAGTTCAGCCCAGTGCCCTCCCTCTGCTGTCGCCCCCAGGTAAGTGGCTGTGGGTATTTTAGCGCTCTGTCCTAGCTCTCTGTGCTGGGCAGCAGGCTTGGTGTTTATTCCCCAAGGGTGCTGCTCACAGCTAAGACTGCTGCTGTATGTGGGGTCCCAGCCTTCCACATTCTTGAGCCTCCACTGATCCTACCCAGTGTCCCTGGTTTTATGGTTCGGTCCTGCTGCTTTTCTGTTGCTTATTTCTGAGGATTTTTATTTATTTTAGTTGTAATTCCCATTTGTCCTCGGAGATGGTCTGTGTAGCTTCCATTCACTGCACCTCCATTTTCACATCCCCTAAGCCTATCTTATGTGCAGCTGGGTCACACAGGCCTCTCTGTTGCTTCAACACCCCGCAGGTCTCGTGGGTAACTGGATGGCACAGTTCCTTTTGGGTAATACAGGCCTTTCTGGTGCTTCTGCTCCCCATAGATCCCATGGGTAACTAGATCATACAGTCTCTGCTGGATTTCACTGGCCTCTCTGGTGCTTCAGCACCCCTCAGGTCCTACGGGTAATTGAATGGTACAGTCCCTGCTGGGTTACACAGGCCTCTCTGGTGCTTCAGCACCAAGAAGCTTCTGCAGGTAAGTAGATTGCACATTCCCTGCTGTTTTGCATGGGCCTCTCTGGTGATCCACACCCTGAAGGTCCCAAGGGCAGGCAGCTGGATTGCACCAGTTTCTCTTGGGCACAGGCTTCCCACTGCTCTTGTGAGTTGCTGGACCACATAGGCCTCTGTGTAGCCCCAGGTCCCGCTGCTGGTGGCTAGGGAGTGCTACTGCCCTTGGGGTTCAACTCCTGCTCAGCTCTTACTGTATTTTGGGGGGATGAATCTCAGCTGCTGGTCTGTGCTTCTGTTGCCTGGGGATGGATGTCTCTTCCACAGCCTCTGTTGTTGGGGGTATAGCTCGACTCTCATTGGGCTGCCACTATGTGCACTGGTCTGTGTTGACACAGAGTGTCCACTGGTCTGATGGTGGCAGGTGCGCTGGTGGGATCAGGTTGCTGGGCCCTAGCTGCTCCCTCTGCCTCCTCCCTGGGAAGACCTGGGATCTTCCAAAATGATGGGGCCTCCCCGTGGTGCAGGGAGCAGCGCCCGGAAGAGCTTACTGTGGTAGCCAGCTTCTCCCATCCACAGCACGGGAACCTTCTGCTCAGAGGCTCTGCACTGCAGGTGTGGACCTTCAGGTGCACTCATTCTCTCTCACACACTAGCTCACTCTTTCACACACTCACCCTCCCTCTGGTCCTGCCCACTGCCATCTTCTCACCAATTTTCTTAATAGCTAATTACTATTTGACCACTCTTTTATTCATTCATATTTTTCATGTTAATTGAATGTTTTAGTTTTTAGAATTCCTAATTTTCTTTTTTCAGATTTTTCTGTTCAGTATTAAGGAAAATTTTATTTTTCTTGCTGCTTTTTATGGTTATTTTTAATATACTGATAATTATACTGCCTATACTATTAGTAGGTCTGTTTGTGTAGTTTGATTTTTTTCAACATATTTTAACTGATTTTACTCCCACCTCACGTCTTTTGTTAGTTTATTGTGAACTTATGTTTCCTTTAACCACATATATGGGACATTTTCTAGGAGGATAATTTAAAATGTGCTATGCTTAGAAATAGTTTACTATTTCCGCTAAATACGTAAGGACACTAGAATTCAGGACTACATTTTGTTTTTCACTTAACATGTTCTAGAATGTGAATTCTGGGCCAAATTTCTGTGGTAATAGGTTTTGGATAAGAATTGTAAATAGGCTTTGTTTTGTTTTCTTCTCTTACAGAGGCAGAGATTCACTTTCTTAATGTTTAGTGTTTGTTTGTTTGTTTGTTTGTTTGTTTGTTTGTTTTAATCCTCTTCAGTTTTACTGTTAAACAGTTAGTATTGATGGGAAATGTCATAACTTTAGGTTGAAGTCTGTAATATCTAAAGTTTTATCTTCTAGCTTAAATTTTGGCAAGCAAAACTATGTGATCCAGTTAAACATTAGTTTTCACACTTTTATTTGTAAAATATTTTAATTCTTGTATGTTTTATCTTCTAAGTGTTTTTTCGATCTTAAGGTGCTTTATTTCTCTAAGTATTCAACCATAATGTGGTAGAAGATCGAAGTTATAGATACTAAATATTCAACTAAGGAATATTTGAAGAGGGTTGTTCAGTAATATTACTTATAAATACAGTTGTGTCATTTTTATTGTTTACATATTCAGGGTTTTTTGTTTTCCTCTGACTCTTTTGGGTCTTGCTTCTAAAACATTGGCAGATAAGGACATTATTTCTAATGGCTCTTTGTTAAGCATTGAGTATAATGGCTATATATATTTATTATGTTAAAAAATTTATTTATTTAAACTATTTTTATAGTTTTTATTTTTAATTAGGAATGGATGTGTAATTCAGACAGTCTTGACTGTTAACTGTTTTTATTATTCCACATTTTTGTTTTATTTGACTATGTCATTCCTGTGTAAGCCTGACTTAGTTTGACTTTCTTTATGCAATACTGCACCTTTCCCACTCTGACAAACTTCTGAAATAACAGGAATATGGGACCAGTGGTTGGAACCTGAATGTGATGCCAGTGCTGGATCAGTTTGTTCTCTACCACATCAATGCAGACATCTCAGGCATGAAGGTTCCCTGGCTATATGTGGGCATGGTTTTCTCAGCATTTTGTTGGCATATTGAGGATCACTGGAGTTACTCCATTAACTACTTACACTGGTGAGCAAGACACAAATGGCTTGGATGTCAGAACTCTCTTCATATGCAAAGCTATGTCCAGGCTTTACATGTCTCCTCTTTACCTGAGCAGGGGTGAGCCAAAGACCTGCTATGGTGTACCCTCACTGGCAGCAGAGCATTTGGAGGAGGTGATGAAGAAGCTGACACCTGAGCTGTTTGATAGTCAGCCTGATCTTCTACACCAACTGGATACTCTAATGAATCCCAACACCCTTATGTCTCATGGTGTTCCTGTGAGTACCGGGAAATAAGGGACAAAAGGAATTTAATCCTGCCCTAGGGAGGGGCTGGAAAGAGAAGAGCTTAGATTTAAGGAAATAAAGTTACATGCATGTTGATGTGGCAACTAGGCATTCTGTGATGCTGTCAATCTGCCAACCTACACACATCAGTAGAGTATCCAAAGAGGAAGAGAAAAGACATCAGATAATAATTTAACAATGCAATAGCTGAAACCTAGATTTGTCCTTTTTATCTGCTTCATAGTCTAGTATTGCTTTTTGGATGTTGTTTTTAATGTCAACTAAAAGCTTTTTATTTTTTTGTAAATTTTATTAATTTATTGTTGTAAGATGTTTCTCTTTACCCTCCTGCCTACAGCCTCCTCCAGATCCCGCACCTGCCTTCCCAGCATGGTTGTCTTTGTTCTTTAATTACGCATACATGCACATAAGTTCTTTGGTTTATCTCATCCATACCTGCTGTCCCCCACCTCTGAAGTCTATTAGTCTGAACCATACTCCTCTCTCTGTCTCTGACTCTGTTTTGTTCATCACTTCATTTTCTTCATTATATTCCACAAATAAGTGAGATCATGTGATATTAATCTTTCTCTGCTGGGCTTGTTTTGCTTAGTATAATACTCTCCAGGTCCCTCCCTGTCATCTCAAAGGATAACAGCTGCATAGTACTCTATTGTGTATATGTACCACAGCTGTTTATCCATTTATCTTCTGATGGACACTTGGGCTGTTTCCAGATCTTAGCTATTGTAAATAGTGCTGCTATTAACATGGGGGTACATATATTTTTTTCTCATTGGTGTTTCAGCCTTCGTAGGGTATATTCCTAGAAGTGGGGACTACTGGGTAAAGCGGCAGATCAATTATTAATTTTTTTTTAAAAACACCATACTTTTTCCACAATGGCTGTACAAGCCTGCATTCCCACCAGCAATGTACAAGAGTCCCCTTTTCTCCACGCCCTCGGCTGCACTTTTGTGATGATTTGTTGATGGCGGCCACTCTGACAGGTGTGAGGTGATACCTCATTGTTGTTTTAATTTTCATCTCCTGATGATTAATGACTTTGAGTATTTTTTTATATGGCTCTTGTCCATTTGTATGTCCTGTTTGGAGAGGTGTCTATTCGCTTCTTCTGCCCATTTTTAAACTGAGTTTTTGTCTTCCTTTTGTTGAGTTGTATGAGTATTCTACATATTTTGGAAATTAACCCCTGATCTGATGTATCATTGGCAATTATGCTCTTCCATATAGTGTGTGCCTTTTCATTTTGGTGGTTGTTTCTTTTGCTGTACAGAAGCTTTTTAGTTTCATGTATTTCTGTGTTTTCATTTTTTCCTTTGTTTCTCTTGCTTTAGGCATTGCTATCTGTGAAAATTCTGCTGCGTGTGATGTCTGAAATTGTGTTGCCTACATTTTCTTGTAGAATTTTTATGAATTCATGAGTCACTTTTAAGTCTTTTATTGACTTTGAGTTTATTCTTGTATATGGTGGAAGTTGGTAGTCTGTCTTCATTTTTGCATGTAGTTGTGGAATTTTTCCAACACCATTTATGTTCTTGCCCCCTTTGTCAAACATTAATTGAGCATAATGTCTTGGGTCCATTTCTGGGTTCTCTGTTCTGTTCCATTGATCTATATGCCTGTTCTTGTGCCAGACCCAGGCTGTTTTGATTACAGTGGCTTTGTAGTATATCCTGATATTCAGTATTGTGATTCCTCTTTCGTTCTTCCTTTTCAAGATTGCTGTGGATATTTGGGGTCTTTTTTGGTTCTATATAAACTTTTTAAGTATTTGTTCTAGTTCTGTGAAATATGTAGTTGGTATTTTAGGGGGAATTGCATTGAATCTGTAGATTGCTTTGGGTAGTGTGAACATTTTAATGATATTAATTCTAATCCATGAAGAAGGTACATGTTTCTACTTTTTTATATCTTTGTGTTGTTTTTTTTGTTTGTTTGTTTTTTTGTCTTGGAATTTTCTGGAAATAGGTCCTTTACTTCTTTGGTTAAGTTTATTCTTAGATATCTTAATTTTTTTGGTGTAGTGGAAATGTGATTGTGTTTTTTGTTTTGTATTTTTTCTTTTCCTTTTTACTTATCAGACGGAGTGGGAGGGAGGAGAGGGAAAGACAGAGGAACCATTGATGTGAGGGAGCCTCCTGCAGGACTCCACCAGGGCCAGGGACAATCTGCAAATGAGCTTTGCACCCTTGACCACAATAGGACCCATGCCTCATTGGTCCTTGGTCTGGCACTCTAACCTCTGAGCCAAACTGGCCAGGGCTGGGATTGTTATTTTAGTTTCTCTCTCTGTGAGTTCATTATTGGTGTATAAGAATACCGTTGATTTCTTGATCTTAATTTTGTATTCTGCTACCTTGTCAAATTCATTTATTAAATCTAGTCAATTTTAAAGGAGTCTTCAGGTTTTTCTATGCACAATATTATATCATCTTATAAGGACAGTTTTACTTCCTTCTTTCCAATTTGGATATCTTTTATTTTTTATTCATGTCTGACTGCTATGGCTAAGATTTGCAGTACTGCCTTAAATAAGAATGGCAAAAGTGGGCATCCCTGTCTTGTTCCTGTTCTTAAGGGAAATCCTTTTATTTTTTGCCCATTGAGTATGATGTTGGCTGTAGGTCTTTCATACATGGCCTTTATTATGTCAAGATATGATCTCTCTATTCCCACATTGCTGAGCATTTTTATCAGAAATAGGTGTTGGATTTTGTCAAATGTTTTTTCTGCATGTATTGATATGATCCAATGGTTTTTATCCTTCATTTTGTTTATGTAGTGTATCACATTTATTGATTTGTGAATATTGTAATAGTTTTTCATATCTGGAATGAATCTCACTTGGTCATGGTGAATAATTTTTTTAATGTATTGCTGCATTCGATTTGCTAATATTTTGATAAGGATTTTGGCATTTATGTTCATCAGGGATATTAACCTATAGTTGTTTTTTTGTTTTGTTTTGTTTTTTATCCATTTTTTGTTCAAATAGAGTGGGAGGGGAAGAGAGAGAGAGAGACACCGACATGAAAGAGACACATCGAGTGGCTGCCACTCACACAGCCCAACCAGGGCCAGGGCAAAACTGCAACCAAGGTATGCGCCCTTAGCGGGAACTGAAACTGGGTCTCTCTGAACTGCAGACCGATTCTCTAACTGCTGAGCCAAACTGGCCTGGGAAGACTGTAGTTTTCTTTCTTTGCAGTGTCTTTATCTAGTTTTGGAATTAGAATTATGCTGGTCTCATCAAACAAGTTTGGAAGTCTTTTTTCTTCTTTAATTTTTTGGAAAAAATTGAGGAGAATGGGTATTAGTTCTTTGTTTGGTATAACTCCCCTGAAGCTATACGGGCCTGCCTCTTTGTTTGGGAGATTCTTGATTAAATGTTCAATTTTCTTAGTTGTTATTGGTCTGTTTAAGTTTTCTATCTCTTCTTGGTTCAGTTTTGGGACACTAAGTGTTTCTAGAAATGTGTCCATTTTGCCTAGATTATTTAGTTTGTTAGTGTATAATTGTTCATAGTATCTGTTAATGATCTTTTGTATTCCTGTAGTGTCAGTTGTTACTTCTCTTAGTTTCTGATTTTGTTTGTTTGGGTCTTCTCTCTATGTTTCTTAGTGAGTCTAGCTTAGGATTCATCAATCTTGTTTATCTTTTCACAGAATCAGCTCTTTATTTCATTCATCTTTTGAATTGTTGTTTTTTTGTTTGTTTTTTGTCTCTGTCATTTATTTCTGCTCTGATGCTTAAGTAGTTCTTCTATTTGCTCTGGGTGTGTTGTTGTTGTTGTTGTTTGTTTTCAGTTCTTTATTTGTGAGGTTAGTAAATTAGAAATTATTCTTGTTTTCTGAGGTAGGCGTATAGTGCTATGAACTTCCCTCTCAGAACTGCTTTCGCAGCATTGCATAGATTTGGTGTTGTTGTGTGTTCATTTTCATTGGTTTCCAGGAAGTTTTTAATATTTTTCTTAATCTCCGTAGTAACTCATGCATTGTTTAATAACATACTATTTAGCTTCCATGTGTTTAAATGTTTTAGTTGTAACTGATTTCTAGTTTTAAGCTATTGTGATCTGAGAAGATGCTTGATGTGATTTCAGTCTTTTTGATCTTGCATAGAATTACTTTGTTTTCTAACATGTGGTCTATCTTTGAGAATGTCCCATGTGTTCTTGAAAAGAATGTGAATTGTGCAGTTGTAGGGTGTAATCATTGTAGATATCTATTAAATCCATTTGTTCTAGTGCATCATTTAAGAGTCCCTGTTTCTTTGTTAAATTTTTGTCAAGAGGATCTGTCCAGGGATGTCAGTGGGTTGTTGAAATTCCCTGCTATGATTGAATTGCTCTCTATTTCTTCTTTGAAGTCTTCCTGAAGTTTTTAAATATATTTTGGTGCTCTTACATTGGGTCCATATATGTGTACCGAGGTTATATCTTCCTGTTGGATATACCCTTTCAATATTATGTAATGACCTTCTCTGTCTCTGGTTACAGCCTTCTGTTTGAAGTCATTTTTATCATATATGAGTATTGCTACCATAGCTCTTTATTTCTTTCTGTTTGCTAGGAAGATTTATTTCCATCTCTTCACTTTCAACCTATGAGAGTCTTTTTTGTGAAGTGGGTCTCTTGTAAACAACATGTATATGATTCATGCTTTCTTATCCAGTCAACTGCTCTATGTCTTTTGATCGGAGCATTCAATTTATTTACATTTTATGTTATTATTGATTGTACTTATTTATTGCCATTTTTGTTTTTTGTGGTTATATTCTACTTCATATTTCTTCTACTAATTACAGCAGTCCTTTTAACATTTCTTGCATTGCTGGATGGTGCTAATATATCCCCTTAGCCTTTTTTTTTTTTTTTTTGTCTGAGAAGCTCTTTATTTGATGTGCTATTTTGAATGATAGCCTTACTGGATAGAGTAGTCTTGGATATAGATCCTTGTTTTCATGA